CTCATTCTGATATAGTAATTTATTTCAACATAATCTAAGTAAAGACTTCTAATCTAAGTAAAGATTTCTATGACTTACTGAAGATTTTTAATACATTTGAGACTTAGACACTTTCCTTACAAGCCTTCATAAATATWGTAGCAACAATATGTCTTTTGTTGTCATGTTTTTCAGTTTTCATGTGTTTACTGATAGTCAACACAATTAAATGATGTTTAAGTTGTATCTGAACTGGGCAATGCTTGAACAAAATATGCCACACACAGTTTGAAATTAATCTAAGCAGGTAAAGAAATTTAAAACGTACATGTTTATAGGTATATATATTATATATTGGTGTATAATAATGTATACACACACATGTATTTTAATATTTAGGTTTAATAGCAAACAGTACAGTAGAACTCCACTGATAGCAAGATTTGATTCTAGATTATCCATAGAAAATTGGTGCACTTTTTCTGAAAATCAATGCAATCTCGAAACAAAATGTGATACCAGATAATTCTCTGCCACAGCCTAAAACTGGTAATCAATTTGAACACCTAAATAATTGAATTAAACCCTATAGTAATCAAATAGATATTTGATAATGAAATCTCTCCATTGAAAAATGTTACTGAGTAAAATTTTGTATCAGTCCCAACTAGGTAAGTACAACATTTAGGRTAAGTCCTCTCAGTCCTGACTGGAGCTCATAGGTACTACTGGACTACAAATAATAAATAATAGTACATGTACTGTAAAGTCTCGAAAATCAGTGATAATACCAAGCATTTTCCATCTTTGAAATACTGTAACATAAAATTATTCCTCACAACACCCCTGTGAGATAGGTATGAAAGTGTTACCCAGTCTTATTGATGAGGCAACTCATCCCAATACTACAAGGTGCTCGCTGATACTGCAAGGGGATTCCCMGGGGCATGATTCCCTGATTCCCAGAGCCCCGAGAAGTATGTAATTCTTAAACAAAATATAAGTCTAGTAAAGAACTTGCCCACATCCTCAAAATATGTGASTGGCACGGCCCAAAGCTTTTGTATTTGTCACTTTGTCGACTGATTGAGACATTATCCCTTTGAAAAAATAAAGTACTATACATTGGACCTGTGATCTTCACAAACATGTATTTTTCTTTTCGTAGATCTGCTGATACCTTTCATATCTGCAAAGGGAAGGCATTTCCCTGTGAGTGAATACCTTGTGTAGCAGAGCTGTAGCAAGAGTCTCCCATTTTTTTGTTTTTATGCATAAAAATTACAGATTCTTTTACTCATTTATGTGAATATTCGTATATCATCAAATTATATATTAAGGGGCCCAGCCATATATTTTTTACAGCCAGCTTTCAGGACCACCTTTAAAAGTGGGATAATCCTGTGGAATGTACTAAAATATATGTATTCTCTTTTCCCTCTTTCAAAAAATAAAGAACAGAATACTTTTACTTAGACATACTTWAAAATACCGTATAGCTAGCATTGTTTTGTAAATGTGTAAAGTAAAGCAAGACATCTGAACCTGGAAACAGTCCCTCTTGCACCAGGAAAAACCTGGAGTGTCTYCACGAAAGGCTGTGGAGCTTCAGTGGTGTAAAATCAGGCAGAATGAACTTGGGATCGGGACTTCCATCCTCCTGCCTATCTGTGGCTGCCCTCTACCAGCAGCACTAACGGGCTTCATGCCTTCATCTGGAGGAAGGAGCATGAATGGCATATCTGTCAGCAAATCCTGCAAGCTATGCACATACCTGATCACATCASTGAAGACTTCATCACTCATTATGCTAGTGTTACACACAGACGTAAAAAACAGGCAGCTCTTTTGACCTCTGCAGAATTAGAGAAAAAGGAAAAAAATAAAACCACAGTATCTTCCAAATGACGGCGTTCATGCAGAGAAGTAAATTAAAGGCAACACAAATACAGCACAAATGCGGCTTCAGAAAAACAAAGTTTTTGCCAAGAGAGAAAGGACAAACAGGTAAAAAAACAGATAATGTATTGGACTAATATATACAAAATGGAAAAAAYGGACAAAATTTAGTTATGTCAGTTTTTTGTTATAAATGCCCTTTTCCTAATAACTTGTGGGAAAGCCTTGCTCACACCCTCCCTTTAAAAAATCATAGCAGGCAATTTTTCTGATCATATATAGAGTTCCTACATGACTCTATTTTTAAACATCTGTAATTCAACAGACTTTGAACATTTTCATCTGTGTAGCATATTTTATTATTTAATGTCTTCATATGATTAAAAAAAATAACCCATACACATTTAAAAATAGATATCATTCTGCTTTCATCCTTTTTTGGGGAGAGGAGGTGAAAGCAGGTAATTTTCCTCTTGTGTTTTGAACAGAACCATAGCTCTCAGAGCTCCTTTGCTTTCCTTCTCTTTTGCATATCATATTTTCTCTCAGCAAGACTCAGGGACATGCATGGAGGAAGAAAAGCACAAACCGATTGTTGTTGTTGAGTCACCTGAGGAAACTCATACCTTCTTTGGGTTCATCTTATAAAACACAGTATCTGCATAACAAGGCCACTGAAAGATGATTAATACAGATTTTTCTCTTTTATTTATTTTTTGTCTGTTTTAAATGCAGCAGGCATTCAATATTGGAATATAACAGCTTGGAGTTTACTCGAACATACAGTTTTTTTTTGCAGGAGATACTTAACCACATGCCTAACCTTAAGAATGTAAATACTTTCATTTAAATCAATGTGAAAAAAATAATTTGGTTAAAGTTAGACATGCTTTGATAATTGGGGGTATTGGAAAAAAAGACAAAACAAAACCATGGGTTTAAATGTATAGGTTATGTCATTTGGAATGAATGGATGCGAGTTGTCAATTTTTTTTCCTTTTTGTTCGCTTGTTTGCTTGTTTGGGATATTTTGGGTTTTAGAATTTGAACTGCTCCTGATAWATTCATTCCCAAATTTTATCATGCAGTGTATCATGAATATTAGACAGATGTTTAAACAACCTGAAAAGGAGGCTTTWTCAGTAGGCAGTACATGGTAAGTGTTCAGAAAGCAGTCAATTTGAAGCAGTAGTCATTCTGAAGTCTGTTTTCCTCCCTCCAAAATATTTTTTTCTGTGTCTTTTTTTGTTCTACTGCTTTGGGATTAATTCTCTTAAGATTTATTTTCATTGGAAATTTTATTAATTCTATCCCTTTGCACTGTTAATATAAATTAGAAAAACATTTGAATTTCTGGTGTCAACCTTATTCCGTTTTTCAGATGCARCGATTATAAGTCATTGACACCAATCTACCACGAGTGACCTTGGTCTCATATCTTGWTCTGTTATTAGAGTAATCAAGGAACGCAATTCAGAAATAATATTACATCCTGCATTTTATTCAATTCCATATGACAAAAATAGTAACCTAGACTAAGACATCCATTTCAATCAGTAGATGTGTCAAGCCAACAAGATTTAATAATAAAAAATATTGGATCTARGTAACAATTCCCATCTGTTTCAGGGAGGCTCCTAGCCCTACATGGTATCACAGTATAAAAATAGTGTCTCTCTTCACCATGCAGAGAGGAATGGCCTAACCCTGAATACAAAATGGGGTCAGTCTTACTGTACCATCATCAACCATCTTATTTACAGCACTTTACATATTTTTTCTCTTTTTGCTTTTTCACTTTTTCTTCTCTATTTTTCTTTTTTTTCTTTTTTTTTTTTTTTAAGTTATACACATCTTTTAGGGAATAGAGAGAACACTACATAGTACCAAATACTAACAAAAGAAAAAGTCACACAAAAAATTACACAGATAAATAAAAACATTCAATTGCTGAAATACAGCAACATTAAGCCACCTCATTTTTCTTTTTTTTTGATGCTTGGAAACACCCCTAACCACTGACAMACTGTGGAAAAATTATGTTATATTGTAGAGGTGTTACAGATATAGATATATATTTGTATCTATATAGCTCTATATCATCATTATAGAAAATGGAGCTGCAGAGTTCATTGTTCATTTCCAATAGAAACAAACAGCTAATAAGTCTTTGAACCTCTTTTTCCTCCATTACGTGATGGCAGAAATAGTCCATCCTCTTACAGTAATGGTTTCTGTTGTGTAAGAAAGATTGTCCTATTTTTCAGTCTCAACTGAGAAGACATCACCATCGGATTCGTTCTTCAGGGGCATAAAAYTCCTTGCGCTGTTACCCAGCTACCCATAATGTCCCTCAAGCAATTCTGCTGGACGGAAGTTTAGTGTCAACTCCACCATGCTCATAATGCACGAAAATGAGGTAGTACACAAAACATTTACTGTTCAAGTTTTGATTAAGCCCCAGTCTTCTCCTCAGCATCCCCAGCCTAACTTATGAGTGGAACCATTCCCTTTGTTTACTCGGTGTAATTCCAGCAATGCAATCAATGTAAAATTATATTTGATTAATCAGAGTACATTGTGCTTTTGAGCAATCTGAAAAGATATTCAGACAGAGTTGGAAATAAATACAGAACATTTGTGTGTTACTGCTGCTTGTACTGCCCAAAAGTTCTTTTTTTGTTCCCTCTATTATTAGGCAGTCAGCATCTTTCTTGTGGTTATGCGTGAGAGACAGAATAGATTACAAGAAAATTAAACCTACGTAATSTTCTTCTTCTTCTATCCTAGACTTGTATTAATATCACTCTCCTAAGATAAATGTATCAGAATTCTGTAGGGGGTGGTCACGATTTTAAGTGGGCTTTGCTGAAAAGTGAAATGAATAATTTCCGTATAAGAAATGACACTCCTCATATTTGCTAAGGATCTGGCAGTTCTCTGCAATTTTCTGCTTAGTTAATAGAGATCTCTCACTGTTTGACCTTAAAACAAAACAAGAAACTGCAACAAAGTCCTCTTCCTTATTCCTTCAGTCAAAGTACTATTTATAAAATAGTTTACATCTTTGTTCGGTTTCAAATTATAGACAAACCTGCCTAATACAAAATACTAAAAGTGCAATAATATAAATTAAGAGTTTGCAACCACATTATACAAACATTACCTTTTTATTGTACAGCTTTGATAACACGAAGTATTTACTCACAACCGTTTATAATGTTGTGAATAATTTATGGTGCTAAGGTTTGTCTGTAACTTGTTTTCCAATCATTGAGCTAAAATCCACACTACATTTTTTTTCATTTAATAGAACAACTGTCCACATAGCAGCTACAAATATTTAAATAAAAAAAAGGTTTGTTACTGACAGGTACTTGCACATGAAAAGCATGCCATCTTTCCCAACAAAACTTCACAATTTTGCCTGCATTGAAAGAAACCACTTGTTCATAGTAAAACGAAACTTGCTTTGAAAAAAAGAAAMAGAAAAAAGAAAAATCACATAGCCAGATGAATTTTGCAGTACAAAAGCTTCATTTAAGTTTGGGGCTAGTATATTGTCTGTTACCCGCATAATCTTAACATTATAAATACTACAGACAAGGATACTGTAATAATACACAGCATTGGGGTACTAAATCACTTATTTAAGATTAAGATTCCTAAAAACATAGTCCAAGTTGCTAACTAATTTGAACAAAACCAGCAAATAAGTGTGACAGAATGCCGTAATGAAGCCCCCCTTTCTCAGGTGATAGTAAGTTTTATAAGAAGCAAAGTGAATGTAGACTAGCCTCTTTTTGTTTCTAATGAAGTTATCCCATGACTGGTTTGTTTGTTTGTTTTTCTGTTAAATTAAAAGGTTTAAAAGTTCTCAGTAACAGTCAAACTCACTGTTGAAAGAAGTACCATGCAGATCTTGCAAGACAACTTTTCAGCAGCCACAAAGTTATGTATTTCTGCTATGGGTAAAACTTTAAAGGGAACCTATGCATTTAGGTCAGGAAACTAATGCTTAGCTTCAAAAGCTGTACATGGAACAGAACAAGTGTTGTGTCAAGTAGAGGTCCAACAGTTATTTGAAATGAATGCTTTTAATTTATGCCAATCTCTTTATTATCCTCAATAAATCTGGTGAATGGACGACTGGCTCCCGTTTCAGAACTTGCTTTGTCCAGACTGACAATGGGAGGGCTGCTGCCCGTGCGAGCTTTGTCCATGCCACCGGTAAGGTTACTTAGAGGTGGGATGGCGCCTCCGCCTAGACTTACTGGGAGCTGAGGAATGCCTCCATTCTGTATGACAGAAATCTCATTGTTCTTCATAGCAAGTCCATTAGTGATAGCTGCAGCATATTGGTTCCAAAAATTGGGGTCAACATTCATGGCCCGAGCTGCCAAATCCTTCTGGAACATCTCGGAGAACTTGAGCGCATCGCCACCCAGCAAAGCCATGGGGTTTTCCACGGAGAGACGTCGGCCACGGCGTGCAGGGGCGTTATTCCACATGTGAGTCCCCATGTGAACCTGCAAAGTAAACAGGGACAAGAAGCACCCCCAAGTTAGCACATTCTGGTGAGGTTTCTGGCCTGAAATGCTTTTACTTACAGTAGCGCTTGCTTTTAAAAAAAAAGACTTAATTCACATTGAAAAAAAATCAGTTCCAGTTAAGACACAGTTCTAAGGTCCAGTCAGCCCACACAAAGAAAACACAGTTCCACAGTAGTTTTCCAATGTGCATTTGTTTCTTCTCAGTGAAAACAAACACAAAGATGCAAGACTAAAGGGTACATACTCTCTTAGGTTAGAGAATTTCTCATGCAAACTGGAAGTCTTCACATGTTGAAGATTACCAAGGGCATTACTCATACTAGGAGATGGGTGTTTTTCCCTGCCCTTTCACTTTTTTTCATCTTTTTTGTTTTCATAATATTTTATCTCATGTCAGAGGCGCCGATTACTGTGCTAAATTTAGTATMTTTAAAAAGGATATTTAAAATGTCTTCCCTAGGCTGCACCCTGATGGCTAACCAGACTGCAGAAATAAGAACCATCAGTCCGGTAGTAACCCGTTGTAAATCTGTGAAGAACAGCTTTCTAGTCTGCAATGGCTGCAAAAAGGAATAGAAAATAGAAACTGGGGAGGCACCCCAGGAGCTGAGCAAGCTCTGTGTTTCTGGTTTATAGCAAGGTTATTTTGCACCGATGGTCCATAAGAGCTCYCAGAACATGTCCGTCAGCTGACTCTGTGTGCCACCAGTTTTGTTAGGAGAACTACAACATGCCTGCATGTACACCTGGAACCAGTTTCAAAGTTTGCATCACTGCACAGCCTCTTTCCAGGCCTTATCTTCCACACGGTGGAAGCATAATGACCACCACTGTACAGCAAGCATTTCCTTGAAGCTTCCTTCTCACATGTCTTTGGGGCAAACACTTAGCACTTAAACCTGCTGAGTTCAAGAGCAGTGCTCTTTAACCCCCCCACCCCAAGCCTTTACAGTTTTATGTGGCCTCTTACCTTAAGATTCCCCTTTGTGGTAAAAGCTCTACCACAGATTGTGCAACCAAACGGTTTTTCACCAGTATGGGTGCGCTCGTGTATCTGCAGAGCACTTGCTGAGGAGAAGGTCTTCCCGCACGACTGACAGTTGTGCTGCTTGGGAGTCCGGCGAGGGGGGGGTGCCAGCATAGGGGTGATCCCCGGACTCATCACTGTCTGTGGTGCAGCAGGAACCTGGATTCCAGCTGGAAGCGAGGGAACCTCACCCAAAGAGATCGGCTTGCTGTGACCATTCACTTCCATTTTGATCATGGTAGGTGCTGTACTGGTGACCAGGCTAGGAGTACTTTGGCTGGGACCTAGAGTAAAGTTGGGTTCAAATAACTGAGAAGGCAGCTCTTTTAATTTGTGCGTCAGTAAGTGCTGTTTTAAATTACCCATAGTGGAACACCCACGACTGCAGATTGTACAAACAAATGGACGTTCTTTAGTATGGCTGCGGTAGTGAATTTCCAATGCACTCTTACAAGCAAAAGGCTTGCCACAGATATTACAAACAGTACTTTTAAACTTACCACGTTCTCTGTTCAGGAACAGCAGACTAAAAGGAGCCTCCTCTTTGATGACCGGTCTTCCTGGGTTGGTGGATGTCAGATCTAATGCGCCTCCATTTTCAGTTGTGGGTGGTGGACTGTCTGGTTTTTCTGTCTTTAATTGTATCTCTTGTGGCTCTTCCTGGTTACTGAGACCGGGGGATTTTGATCTGAAACTTTCACTATTACTATTCACAGGAGACAAAGCTTGCATGGAGGAAGAAGACTCTGACATTGCAGGGCTGCCTGCACTCTGGCTTTCAAGATCACCAACGGCTGATGAGGAGTCRTTGCTCAAATGGTCACTTTCCCCTGATCCATTTTCTATGGATTTTAAACTGGTGAGCTGCTGACAGTTCATGACAGAATCAATCATTTTCATTTGATTCTCCAAAGCAGCAATACTGGAGATCACAGAA